AAAGAAGTGGCCATGATTGAAATCTTAGTTCCACTGAATTCAATAGGATTTTTGCTAAAGCATAAATGTAATTGTTTTCCTGACAGTTTTAAATTATAAACTCTTTTCTGAAGGGATGTATCCTTTTACTAGTCCTGTCCATGCAGTAGTAGCAGTAGTAAATATTCCCAATCATTAACAAGTAGAAAAATTACATATGCATCATACATTCATCGTCAAAAACCTAAGGACTAATATTTCTTCAGTACTTGTAGTCTAATCACATAGTCTAAAATAGTATTGAAACATAGGTTTTCAAACTGTGGGATGCAGTGAGGTTATCAGGAAGCAGATGATGGGGTTCAGGGCTGGAGCCAGCCAGGTGTCTGAACCAGGGCAGGGCAGCACTGGAGAGTCCCCACTGGTCAGGGAAGGGAGCAAGAGAAAGAGCAGAGCCATCCTGCTCTGTCAGTAGCATATTTCCCTCATCTCCACTTCTTGGCTGCTAGGGACTGCTGAGAGGGTATGTCTACACTACCCCACTAGTTCGAACTAGCGGGGGTAATGTAGTCATCCGCAGTTGCAAATGAAGCCCGGGATTTGAATTTCCCGGGCTTCATTTGCATGAAGCCAGCCGGCGCCATTTTTAAATGCCGGCTAGTTCGGACTCCGTGCCGCGCGGCTACACGCGGCACGGACGGCATTTAAAAATGGCGCCGGCTGGCTTCATGCAAATGAAGCCCGGGAAATTCAAATCCCGGGCTTCATTTGCAACTGCGGATGACTACATTACCCCCGCTAGTTCGAACTAGTGGGGTAATGTAGACATACCCTGAGTTCTTTCTCCGTTGTCCCAGCTGGCTGGCCATAGCCCTGCATATTTTAAACCTTCCAAGTCCTGCAAGAGCAAGAGGTGGAGAATAGAGGCACAAGGAGGGCAAGGATCTTGTAGAGGCAGCTAGGCCTTGCCACTCGCATTTTCTGATGGGACATGGGACAGAGTGGGTGCGGCACTTATGTGACTTCCATGGAGAAGGGGGCATAGGAAAAAGCAGTTTGGAAAAAAGTTTATATTGGAATACTCATGTCAAAATTCTATATACTTGAGCTCCTCTGACCTTATCTTAGACAACTCTGACGGAAAGCTATTTATCTCATATGAAAGTTATTTACTATATGAAAAATAACATGCCTTCTACTTTTTGATAAGAGAGTGAGTTCTGATGAATCTGCAACACTTAACAGCAGTTGATTTTTATCTATTCCTTTTCCTGTGCAATGTATCTTTGACTGACATCCAGATTAACAGTACAAACTTACCTTTAATGATAAAGGGCTTGACTATGTCCAGGAAGTTAAGAACATGTAGGTGTAAAAGTCAAAGTTAAAAATAAGTATAGTTTTTAAATGTGAAGTAGGAGAACATGACATTTACACTGACTTAATATATATTTATAATGCTCAATATTATATTGAGGCAGCTTTAGTATTTATTGTTTGATCGATTTTTTTACTGAGAAAGTTAGTCTGTTTTTCTTGAAAAAAATACTTGTTTTGTTTGAAACTTTGGTTTTTCAGTGAAAAACAGAACAATATATTTTTTCAGACAATAAACACTGGAGCACTTTGGTTTTCAAATTTTTGTTTAAAAAATCCCAAGAAAACATCATTTCAAAGATTTGAAGGGAAATTTTTTCCACAGAAAATACTAATTTCTGACCAGCAATAATAATATAGTGGTGACACTGTGCAATTCAGAGTCTCAGCCTGCCTTTTGTAGTAAGTTAGTTTTTAACTCATTTGTCACAGATTGATTTTGTTACCAAAAATGTGTATGAAAATAATCTGCTTTTTAGCAAATTACAGTATTCCCATATATTTATAGCACACAAGAAATCAAACATCAGAGGAAATGTATATAATTCCTCTTATAGAAGTTTCAGCTTCTGCCATTTTGGGTCCAAATGTGTTTGTCATTGTGATAACACAATGCAAAAAACCCACAACAGATCCATTTGTGTACAAGAAATTATATTATTCAGATGAACATAGTCAAACAGTCATCTTTTAATGAAACAAACACATAGAATAACCAAAAGTGGCATTTTAAAAATTCATCCAATAATTCTGTTCAATCTCATTTAAAAAAAAGAAAATACAGTAACAAAAACGATAGAAGACTAAGCTTCCTTTTTGACCTTAAGACTGAAAACAGGATTAACACTTTTTAGGTCACTGCTTGACAAGACAGAGATGATTCTACAGAAGCTGATAAAAACACTTGCAAGTGACATAAACTGACCACGGGATGACAGTTGAGGAATAGGAAGACCTTCTGAGTTCAGCCTCTAAGGAAGGATTCATACAATAAATTGTTGAATTGTGTAAGCACACTATGACCAAGCAGACTTGTTTATTGCTGGCATTTGTTGAATGTAGCCTGAGCTAACGGAAAAGCTAAGTTAGGCATCACATATATATCCTCTATTATCGTGGTGAACTGATAATAAATAAATATTACTACTACTACTACTCCTACTACTACTACTTCTACTACTAATAGTAATGGTAATAATATTCTCTTTAGCCAGAATTTTGATTAAGGAGGAAAAGGAAAAAAAATTCTAACAATGCCAAAATGTCCCATTTCCACATTTAAATTAAATATTGTAATTGTTTATTTTTACATGACTATCTATGAATCTTTTTGCATGCCTGCCTTTTTCAGGGAGCGGTTTGCCTCTTAAACCATAATTCTTCCTGGAGTATCAGCAATGCACACTATAAATATAACCAGAATCCCTAGCCTCCTGGTAGACATATGCCATGTAAGGCCATTCTATAAATGCACATAATTTACTCTATTTTCAATACACAGGATTCATATCCACTATAAATCTGTCATCATTAAAAATATAGTATTAATTGAGAATAAAACTGATCATTAATATAAAATTGAACAATAACTTTCTGATGACTATTCCTCTTCCCCACTTGTTCTCCTGAAAACTTTGTTTGCGTTTATGTAAATGTGCTTTTATTTCATTTTGGTATTACCTTCCCTAATTTAAGTCAGAGACAGTCAAGGAGACAGAACCACATTTCTTATGTATTTTAATCCTGCCAGACCTATGTGTTTAGATTTAGAACACAGATCTAGCATGTATTGATAACCCTTTGTACAAACCCCAGGCATACAACATACAACGATTTTCAAGACGAGCATGTTACTAGTTCATATATGACACTTTACATAACACCTTTTAGATACAGAGTAGCAACAATGTGTTACGTGTAGAGAGTATGTCAGGCCTGATATGAATTGCTGATAATGTAGTGAACCACCAGTGATCCTCTGTGCCAAATATATATCAAATTCATGGCATTTGCTATGTTCAATGAAATACTAGATTGTAGATAATTGAGAGATCAGTTTAAGCTCTTCCTGTTGAGGCAACATGTCTTTTTTCCATTCCCTGGTAGATTAATATTTTGGCTGACAAATGTTTTGAAAGCAAAACTTGTGTCTATTTAATGTGGGGAGATTTTCAACAGTATGAATGGCAATTGAGTGACTAACTGCCCTTTGGGTCTTTGAAAATCTCACCCTTTTATTTATCTATGGCCAAATTTTCAGAAATGCTCAGCACCAGCAACTCTCACTGAAAAGCTAAGGTCTAGATTTTTAAACATATTTAGACCTTGCTGTGCTCAGCATTGCAAAGCCTAAGGGTACAAATGTCTAGATGTACGCTAAGTCTTGTTTTCAAAAGGGCTTTTGGATTTCATTGAGATTTAGGGTCCTCAGTGCCTAAGTCCCATTGAAATCCAAAGTACCTAAATCCCTTTTGAAAATAAGACTTAGGGTATGTTTACACTAGCCCCCTAGTTCAATCTAGGGAGGCTAATGAGGGCGACCAAAATTGCAAATGAAGCGCGGGATTTAAATATCCCGCACTTCATTAGCATGTTCCCGGCCGGTCGCCATTTTAGAAATTGACTAGCCTGAAGTAACTGCCCGCATCTACACGCGGCAGTGAAACAGGATTCTGAATTAAAGCCCTGAATCGAATTAGCTGTTATTCCTCCTGGAATGAGGTTTAACAGTTAATTCAATTTAGGGCTTTAATTCGGAATCCCGTTTCACTGCCACGTGACGCGGGAAGTTACTTCAGGCTAGTCAATTTCTAAAATGGCGACCGGCCGGGAACATGCTAATGAAGTGCAGGATATTTAAATCCCGTGCTTCATTTGCAATTTTGGTCGCCCTCATTAGCCTCCCTAGATTGAACTAGGGGGCTAGTGTAGACATACACTTAAATGCCTAACCCTGTTAGGCTTTCTAGTGCTGAGCACTGCAAGGACTAAATATCTTTAAAAATCTGATAGTTACTGCTTTTGAAAATCTGGCAACTTCATTTTGGTTCTAAAATAGGAACTGAGCTTTTTGGCAAATGTGGCCCGATATGTTGCTGCTTTTGAAAATCTTGTAATTGTATGGCATGGCTACCGTACCTAGCACTGTAAATAGACACATTTGATCTCTGCCTTATGGAGCTATAGCCTAAAGGTACAGCACCTACAATACATTTACACATCAAGCGCAGAAGGTTGAGGGAAGAATGTTAGATTATGATAATTAGGTCTTTCAAAGGGTTTTGAAAATGAAGAAAGGGAAGAGCCTGACATTATATAAACCCCAGTGTCACAATGCATTCTGCACAAGCAGACCCTTGAACCAGTACACAGGCCTTTTGATGTCTTTGGGGTTCAAGTACCCACCTGTGAGCAACATGTTACAGAATCATGTTCATGTTGAGTGGGCTGCAGTTGTTGTTAATATCATGTGGTGATAATAATCAGATCAGTCAAGATTTCTGTTTCTAACAGACATTAGGTAAGGCTCTAATAAGTCTGCAGTTTGCCAGTTCAGTTTCTGCAGTGCTCTAAGAGCAATCTTGTAATCATCCTAACAATTATCCACAGGTGATTCATAATACTTTCCTTTTCATTTGTTACAGATGAACAAGAACATGAAAATGAGCAACAGCCCCTGACCTTAAGCCCTGATCCCAGCTTTAACAAGTCACAGTTAAATGACTGTCCAAGAGACTCTGGCTGTTACATCTTATCAGAAAATTCTGATCCTGGCAAAGAAGAGCTAGATCCAGAAAACTTATCTGACATAGTACAGACAATTACCATCACTGAGTCAAACTGATTCTGTATCAGTGCTTTGCAGGCAGGACTACAGGCTGCACCACGCAAATCCGGGACTCTCTGGTCTAGCAACATCCATGATCTGGCATGACCATGAATGTTCCTGGATGAGAGAGCCCCGGAGCAGGACGATCAACAGCTGGGAGCCCAGCACAGTCCAGCGAGTTTGATAGCAGCTGAGCCGCAGCAGCCCAGGCAGCAGCAGACCACAAACTGGGCTGTCTGTCACCCAGTAGCGGGGCTGGGGCCCCAGCAACCCAGGAGGGAAAGCCTGGCCCAGGCCACATCAGCATGGGCAGCAGCAGGACCGCAGCAGCATGCACGGTGGCGACAGCAGCATGATTGGGGCTGCCTGCCACCCAGCAGCGGAGCCAAGGCTGCGGCCGCAGAAGCCTGGACAGGGAAGCTGGGCCAGGGCCACAGCAGCCCAGACAAAGCAGCACGGCTAGGCCAAAGGAGACAAGAGCAGGAAGGGGTAGCAGGCTGAGGGGTTGGTGCCAGGGGGACCCTCCCATTGTCGGCAAATTCTCTCATCCAGGATCGGTCAGCTCTCAAGGGTGCTGGACCATTGAGGTCTCACCTGTATTGTATACATTAAGCTAATTTACTAGTGGGGCAGTACAGTAACAGCTCCAAAATATTCTCAACATAGAAAGTAGTCTTAGGGTTTTCAGCTGACATATCTGTACAACATTTTTTACTTTATTCAGTGTATGGACACTGTAGCTGAATTCTGGATGACAAGAATAATGTCTCCTACTTTCCTTGTTTATTAATTCTTGAACAGATGGCTGAAGGGAAAAATAACTGCAATATAAATATATATATTTGTATATTAAATGCATTTTCTATAAAAAAGGGAGAGATTTATCCGGTGGCACATAATCCTGGATACTGTAACTTTTGAAACATTTTGAAATATTGTAAATAATGTACATATTTATCTTAAAAGCTAAATGTTAATTACTGTCCTTTTTATCTTCTAATGAATGTTTTTCTGGTATTTATACAAAACATGCTTTTCATCAATATACCTTTATATTACAAAGGTGATTAGATTCATATTCTACTATAAAAAATACTGGGTCTGAGTCTCATTTACATTAAAGCTGCTTTATACCACTCTGCATAAACTGCTCTTAAAGTGGGCATCACATGTAATTTACTGCCATTTTAAAGCCTCTTTACATTACCATGTGGTGCAAAGAGGCCTTAGTGTAAATGAGAATCAGGCCCTCTATCTTCGTTAGCCTTTAGGAATAACTTGCGGTCTGAATTTAATTCTTAACTGGCATTTTTTTTAATTTATCTTTTTTTATTGTTTTCATTCTTTCTAAACATTGTAAAATGAAAGAGACCGCTGGTAGTAGCAAACCGATATCCACAGTGAGCTTTCATTATTATTTTTGGTGAAATTCCTTTGTTTTGTACTTAAAATTAAATTTGTTAGTAGAAATACTTGTTTGTATGCTAAAGCCAATAGCTAATGCATTGGTGTATATTAACAGTTTCCTCCATACAAAAACTAATATTCATTTCCTCCATGTATTTTAAAATATATCTTTTATGTTCTTTTTCCCTGCTTCTTGCAGTATTTCCTTTGACAATAAATAGAACTATGTGATTGAGACTCTTAAAAACTCTTATTTTTTAATGTGGGCACTATCATCTAAAATACAGTACTTTTTTAATGTGAGCACTTTTTATCATGCATAATCTGTATTAAACCGATGTAGCGACTTCCTCTCTTACCTGTTAGTCACACACTTTTCATAAATTATGTCTGTGTTAAATAGTTTCCACTAGATTGCTGACATTTTTTTAAAAATCACTCTTTAGAAGAGACCAAGCATGGAAAGTTTCTCAAAAAGAGAATTTCCGAGGAAGTTATAAACAAATGAAAATGGAGACTTATAACAGAGACTGGTTCTCTCCTCCTGTCACTTTAAATGTTACATTGCTGTGGGTGTCTTCATGTTAGCCTCAGAATCTTAATGCATGGTTCTACTCTGAAAAGTTAGTTTGTGGGATTCCGTATTCTCTGTGGCTATGTCTACACTGGCCCCTTTTCCGGAAGGGGCATGTAAATTTCATGAGTCGTCGTAGGGAAATCCGCGGGGGATTTAAATATCCCCCGCGGCATTTAAATAAAAATGTCCGCCGCTTTTTTCCGGCTTTTAAAAAAGCCGGAAAAGAGCGTCTACACTGGCCCCGATCCTCCAGAAAAAGTGCCCTTTTCCGGAGGGTCTTATTCCTACTTTGAATAAGTAGGAATAAGTAGGAATAAGACCCTCCAGAAAAGGGCACTTTTTCCGGAGGATCGGGGCCAGTGTAGACGCTCTTTTCCGGCTTTTTTAAAAGCCGGAAAAAAGCGGCGGACATTTTTATTTAAATGCCGCGGGGGATATTTAAATCCCCCGCGGATTTCCCTACGACGACTGGTGAAATTTACATGCCCCTTCCGGAAAAGGGGCCAGTGTAGACGTAGCCTGTGTGTCAGTGACTTCCATATCAAACATGCGTTTAAAAGTAAAAAGATGGGAGTGGGATTAGTTTGCTTTTTAATGTCCAGCCCTGCAGACTTGAGCTGGCATCAGCATGTCAAGCTCTATGGGTTTTCATATAAATAACAAAAAAGGTTCTCCAATTAGAAATGAGTTAACAAACCTTTTGATGATGTATGAACCAAAATGTAATTTCTCTTAGGGCATCTCTATACTCAAACTTGCACCAGCTTTACTAAATCAGTTCCCTAATGTATTTCGAATGAGTTGTTTCAGTACATAACTGTACGGCTGTGTCTACACTGGCCTCCCTTTCGGAAAAGGGATGCTAATGTAGCACTTTGGAATAGGCAAATCCGCGGGGGATTTAAATATCCCCCGCGGGTCTAGACGTGATTCTCCAGAAAATAAAGCCTTTTCCAGAGGATCTCTTATTCCTACTTTCAAGTACAATAAGAGATCCTCCGGAAAAGGCTTTATTTTCCGGAGAATCACGTCTAGACTGGCGCTTTTCTCCGGCTTATCTCCAAGCCAGAAAAAAGCGGCAGCCATGTTAATGCAAATACCGCGGGGGATATTTAAATCCCCCGCAGATTTGCCTATTCCAAAGTGCTACATTAGCATCCCTTTTCCGAAAGGGAGGCCAGTGTAGACTCAGCCCATAGGCATAGTACTGACATGAGCTAAATCAATTATTGCAACTTTTGTTTCAAAGAAGCATGTTCCAGTGACAGCCAGCTAAGACTACTAGGATAGCCTGTGCATGAATGATTAGAGTCCACAAAGGCAAATATAGCGAGACATATAGAGACACAAAGGTATTGTGGGATATCTAACTGCATGGATTTATAGGAGGAGAGAAGACTTGTTTAACTGGCTACAGCAACACAGTTAGGTGTGGCTGTGTATTTAGCAAAATATCCACATACCCATTATTTTACAGCATCTAATCCATGCACCAGATTCAGCTGATAGCTCTGATTGACTATTAAATACTTATTAAGAGTGTGGCTGTGAACTGCGTGTTTAGCCATTTGTGTCCCAAATCTGTTAGAAGCATGGTAAACTTTTTGCCCAAATTGTTGTGCATGTACTGGAGAATGTGTCAAAGTAACTGAGTTTATTTAAGCCATTGCAACTTCCTGTAAAGACTGAATGATTATATCTCACATTGAGAAATTTCCGCTCACTTAAGCAATTCTGAGAAAAAGAATGAGGAAATTGTATACCACAAAAAAATAAAAATATCAGGTTACACGCAATGGGCATGTACAACTGTCTTTCATTTTAAAGTCATTTTATTAATTAGTCCTTATCCAAGCAATGTAGTTATTGACTTCCAAGTTGTCTTGTCTGAATAAGACCTAGTAAAAAATGAACTGCACAAGTGGTAGAAATGTTAAGAAATTTTAAGAAAAATCTTATGTCCACTTGAGGAGATTCTAAAGGCTACTAGGAATTTCAGAGGAGGAGAGTATGTCGTGGAGGTCCTCTCTTTTGTGCATTTATGGGAGGGGTTGTGCCCTATTCCACTTCTTTATATCTTCCTGTGCCTCCTAATTGAGGGAATGTAGGATCCTTGGTCCTACTCAGACAAAATGGGAGGCCCTATATTCCTGCATTTCCCTTCATTGTAGGGTGTATGTGAAGGATCAAAACAAAGTAGACAAAGTTGAAGAGGCCCCGGGTTTCACAGTGCAGTCATGGATGATACCAGTGCAGAAGCCAGTGTTACTTATAGCAGCATGGCCTTCTGCTCATCACTTTCCCCACGTCAAATGTGGAGAGAAATATTTCATAGACAGAGGACTCAACAGGAACAGGGCTTCTATGGCAGTTGTGTGTCTTAGGTGAAAGCTGGCCAGTGGCTCCATTCCAGGAGTCAACATGTAACGCAGAAGTTCTGAAAATTCACAGGAATTGGACTGCATGACATTGGACTCTGCTCCCTGCTTCGCCTTTTGTCATAAATCCCTTGAAATTCAATGGGCCTGATTTGCCAATGCTTGATACTTTGCATAGTCAACGAGCCCTGTACAAAATGATGTAGAGCACTCTAAGCAGTGTAGGTGAGTGAATTCTGATTTAGCTGCATTTTGTGCTGACTTTTCCCAAGCGATTATACAAGCTACAAGAAAAGAGTATCAGACCTATGAAGTTTCTAGATGGGGTTTTCCCTGCTCTCAGTTTTTGTAAGGCAGGTGAGACTACAGCCTTTAGAGAGGATGAGTAGAAATAGGCCACTAATGGTACGTCTACACAGCATGCTAAAGTCGAAATAAGATATACAACTTAGCTTCGATAATTGCGAATCTGAAGTCAAAGTACCTTAACTCGGCTTTTGGCACTGTCTACACTGCAGGAAGTTGAAGGAAGAGCTCTCTTCCTTCATCTTTCCTTACGCCTCATGAAATGAGGGTTACCGGCATTGACAGGAGCACCCTTCTCAGTTTGAATTAGCTGTCTTAACTCGACTGCTAATTCGAACCCTGGAAGATTGACAGTAGCAGCTTCGATCTTCCTCTGTAGTATAGACGTACCCTAAATGTGAAAGCAAACAAGAAAAAAAATGTGAAGATGTTTTTATACATACATGTAAACTCAGTTATATGTGGCTTAAGTCAGATTTTTGTATATGGGATTCAAAGACCAGGTGTATTGCAATACTCAAGTCTCATATGAGACATGTAGAGGAGCCCACCCAGCTATATAAAAGTGTGCACCTTCCCCTATATTATCATATATGGAATCAAGGAAATTAGCAGGAATCACTCCATTATCAGTTTCTAAAACAGAGTGAGATGTATTTTGGGCATATTGTATCCATGTGAATTATACTTGTTTGCAAATCATCGATTCCCTCTCTTTTATGAGATGCAATATAGATGACTGGCTTTTAGTGATGTAAACTGTATTTGTGCATTGTGCAGCTATATTATTAATGTAACTGGATTTAGAGCATGCTCATGCCCATGACTTGCATAAACACATTTTCTGGATGATGGGAAAACTTAGAAAGAGAGAAATGTTAGTTGCTACTCTGAGAAAACCATATGGAGCTGTGCTAGGACACTGGACTGAGAGGCAGAAGTTAGGTTCTGCTCCCAACTGTTTTTCAAAAAAACTCTCTGCTCTTCTTGTCATATTTTTGAGTTATCATTTTTAGATGCTGCTGGTCTGATTTTCAAAAGCACAGAGTACATGCAGCTCCCACGTACTTCAGCTGCACTAGAAGAATATCTGAAAATCAATCACCCAAACTTGAAAACTTCAAGGTACTCTTTAAGTACTGTGTTCAACAGCACATAATACTTCAACCCTCTCTGCTTTGCCTGCCACATCATTTGAGAACCGTCTCATACTGGCTGCAAGCACCTTCTTTTATGCAAAGAGCTTTTCAAATATCTTCTCCACCAATATTGTACTTTATAGAGTATATGTGTAAATGAGAGGGAAACTGAAAGTCACTCAGGGCAGGACGGGAAGATTGGCTTTCTAGAAAAATAAATTTTAAAAAAATCCTACCAAAGTACTTTCATGACTTCATACAAGTCTCTCCAACACATCATATCATGAATTGTCTCCCAGCTCCAATACTTCCTTTGTTTTGGAGGTTAATTACTAATTCCCAAAGAAGATACATTTCCCAAAGTAGCTACATTTAGTAAAGTAAACAATATGGCTACATCTACATTGGCCCCTTTTCCGGAAGGGGCATGCTAATTTTTCAGATCATAATAGGGAAATCCGCGGGGGATTTAAATATCCCCCGCGGCATTTAAATAAAAATGTCCGTCGCTTTTTTCCGGCTTTTAGAAAAGCCAGAAAAGAGCATCTACACTGGCCCTGAACCGGCCTGATCCTCCGGAAAAAAGCCCTTTTCCGGAAGATCTCTTATTCCTACTTCAAAGTAGAAAACTTCAAAGTAGGAATAAGAGATCCTCTGGAAAAGGGCTTTTTTCCGGAGGATCGGGCCGGATCGGGGCCAGTGGAGACGCTCTTTTCCGGCTTTTCTAAAAGCCGAAAAAAAGCGGCGGACATTTTTATTTAAATGCCACGGGGGATATTTAAATCCCCCGCGGATTTCCCTATTATGATCTGAAAAATTAGCATGCCCCTTCCGGAAAAGGGGCCAATGTAGACGAGCCCTATCAGAAAGGCCTGGTGAAATGGGGCCTATGGGCTTCC